GGCGCACTATAAAATTCCGGAATGAATAAGAAAAATGTGCTATAAATGGTCAGAAATGAATTTATTGTTTCTCAAAATATTGTCTGTTAGCGTTAATGCCTTTTTCATACGAATGAACCAATTTTGAAAACATTTATGCTACTTCTCCGTGCCAATCTCTGAAACATATTTTTCATACTCTTCGATAGCGTGATGAAAATCGTTGACCGCGTAACTGGTTCTTAATTTTTGGAAATAAATTAAAGTCACAAGGTGCCAGGTCGGGACTGTACGCGGGATGGCTCATAAGGTCAACGTTGTTCGCCTTCAAAAATTCATTTGTCGGTCTGGCCGTGCGAGAACTGACATTATCGTGGTGCAAGATGATTCGGTGTTTACGGTTATTTTTACGGAGTTTCTCAATAACTTCCGGCAAACAAATGGTGGCCCTTGAAATCGACACCCCTTCGTTGAGTCTGGTAAGCATGGCATTGCAGCAAGTGACGCGATCCGTTTTTTGTCTTGAAAGTGAAGAAGAGTGAAATTCGTCTCTGAGATTCACACGACCGCGTTTGAATTCTGCAAACCAGCTATAAATTGTCGTCTTGCATAGTGGTTTATCGCCAAAAGCAGTTTGAAGCTGAGCGAAGCCCTCACTTTAAATGTAATTTAACAGCTGTTAAATTTAAAAATAAATTGTAAAATCATACTACGAAAATTTTCACGCGTTAAATCCATGGTGATGTAGACAACCAATTTCTAAAATGATGCCACAATGTAAAAACAAGTGACAGTCAGATGAAACAAACTGTGTTCTACAGCCAAAGAGTTCCATTTTCAAATATTGTAATTACTTTTTAAATATTGTTTATGTAAGTGGCCACTTCCGGAAACAAATATGTAAACGTATTTAAATTAAATTGTATAGTTACAGTGTTGTTAGTGTGAGCAGTTATCTATTAACATTTTAAATTGATTTAATGAGAACGAAAACAAATCCAAATCAGATGACACTATGTTTATATGTTTTACGTAATTTACTGTACTCTTGGCAAATTCGATTCATATTAGCATTAGAGCCAATATTCGTTCTGAACCGTTTGGTAATAAAAGGACGATAATTACTTAGCCTGGCGTTGCGACGTGAAATAGAAAACTGAAGTTGAAATAAAAATTCAGGGCATTCAGTTTTCCCCAAAACCAAACAGTATATAAGAACTTGATCGGCATTCCAGCGATGTTGAACGATGCACATTTGAAAAGTATTTAGTCTGTCCGCGTATCCCTTCAATAACTTCCCTTCGTCACGTCTGTCGTTACCTTCCACATAACGTTGGAGTGTCGAACAAAAACTTTTGGCGTTGTCCGAAGACTAGCTAACCATTTGAAAGACGCTAGGAAACAGAATTTAAAATTCAAATTAAATTTCCAGGAGGAGCTGGATTTGACAGCAGTGAACAAAGCGGCGATGATGGATCTGCCAGCGGTGAAGAAATGGCAGATCTATTGCAGCCGACGGCCACCGCCAGGAACCATTATGCCGTTGGCCAGTGCTCCTGAGGTCGAGGACTACATCAAGGCACTTAATGAAATCGCTGATGTGAGTTTTTAGTCATTGTAGTCGTTTCAATGTTTAACGCCTGTTAAATAAATACGGGCAAATTATTTGTAGTGTTGTTTTTGTAATGATTTGGTCTTTGCCAAGAATTGAGATGTAGGCGTATTTAACACACTAGTTCAAATGATTCAATCGATACAAAATTAAGGGCTTTCAATGTCATTTATTCCTGTTGCTTCTATTGAACGCTTATTATTTTAAAACTTAGTGATTGGATCGTTATAAAGAAATCTCCACCGAGTCTTGCACGTTGCTTAATCTCAGTCCGAGATTAAGCAACGTGCAACGCCTTTTTCGCTCTTATTGTACTGACATAAAACTTTTTCTAAGCTGTTGCTTCTGTTCCGTAAGGTTTCATTGATTGATGCTCTTGATAAGCAGATCCACCACCAACGCTCGTGTAAACAAACAAATATTTTGAAGAATGTTCTATGTTTACACCGGCAGGAATACATTAACTGCCTCCATGGCCGAACGGTTATCATGCTGGACAGCCATGCAAGAGGTCTCGGGTTCAATTCCCGAGGCGGGAGAAATATTTGTATGGCCTACATTTATTTCTCTCGTGAGTTTGGGCGTAATTTGTGGTTGTCTATGTGTGTGTGACATGGCGCCCGCGACACAGGGTCTCCCTAGTGCTGGGCTATGAGTGTGTACGTTATTATTATTATTACAACAGATATAGTAATAACATTAATATTTTTCCAGGCGTTCGCATCATCAGAAGGCCGAATCACATCAGAAATATGCGCCCTAGTAGATGGTCTGAAAACAGCGCTGCGAACAAGAGCACACAGCTTCGTACTGCGGTTCATCAAGCAAGGAGGACTGGGCGCATTGTTAGATGCGTTACAGAGAGCGCCACGGGATGATGCCGTTACCAGGCATAACCTTATCGCGGGCATAAAATCGCTTATGAATAATTCGGTAAGTGTACTTCTGTTTTATGGTATATGGAGCGGTAAACCGTCGATCCGCCTTGTGGTACAAATACCGTCGCCTATTGATGTTTTCAAAACTTAGAAATAGGCTGTTGATCCTGGAGCGCAAGTTCTACATGTCGGGTCTGTGTAATTGATTTAGACTGAGATTTATAAAATAATCTTTGACCGGCTAATCAAAAATGGCGTAAGCATATTTACGAAACGAACTTTAAAAAAATTACGAAGTACTTAGTTGGTATAGCGTCTGATACGGTAAGCTAGAAGACGTCGGTTCGAATCCGGCCGGATCGAAGGAATTTTTTCTGAGTGTTTGATCTTTGCATTAATAATTGTAACAAACTATACTCTAGCCAAATTCGATGTAGAATAAATGTCAACAAACGAAAACATATGATTTTTAGCGTTTTCATTTCAGACTCTTTCACAGTTACCACAATTTCAAAGTTTTCCTACGAAATTCGACAAGATTATGGATAATACTAAATCTTGAAGCTATGTTTATAATGAATAATATTCAACAGAAGTTTCAAATCACCTAAAAATGATATAAAAATGACCAGTTATTAATTATTTGTATAACTGTGTCATCCCGAGTAACTTTTTGAAGGTAGAGATTGCAAACATTCGACTTCTGGTGGTAATTAAAGTTCAGAATCGGAAATAGATGCTGGAGGATATAATATGTAGTAAATTAATTTCAAATAAAATCTTACAATTTTGTTTCTTTTCATCTACCATTACCTAACATATAGCAGTAAATATTAATAGGATGCAAACACTTATTTTTATTCCTAAATTATACGTATCAATAGGTACTTTGTAAACTTTATAATAATTGGCCAGGTAAGTATTACTTCTACATAACACAATTACCTACTTACCTATTTAAATTCAAATTAAGGGAAGCAGGTCGTGGGCAGAGAAAGCCTTAATAATGAGAATTGAAAAAAATGTTCTTTTCCTATGCCATCATTGGTTGCCTAGCAACGTTTTGTTATTAAATATTCTATATTGAATTTGGCTAGAGTATAGTGGAATAATTTCACAAAAAATAATTGAATATCAATTCAATAAAAAATTTAAAATACATTGAATAGCGACATCTCTCTCTCCAGGGCAGGTAACTGTAAAGATATCTAACTGGGTGATAAAACTTTCATAGATTTCTCATAGATGGCGCTACGACTAAAAAGTCGTTGAGAAACCAAGTAAAAAGATACGACGCAAGCACATAGAAAAATTCGTGAGGTCCGCTGGTTCGTTCCGTGCTTAGTTGATATAGCGTCTGGCACGGTATGCTAGAAAACGTCGGTTCGAATCCGGCCGGATCGAAGGAATTCTGGGTGTTCGATCTTTGTATTAATAATTGTTACGAAGTAAACTCAAGGTTTAATTTAATAGCTTAGCCCACTATTTTTATTTAGAAGTCGAAGTTCTTTTTTTTAACACTAAGTGACTACCTGACGAACAAGTCGTTTGCCTGGTGGTTAGCGACCCACCTGTCCATAACAGTTGCAGTGCCACTCAGAGGTTTAAATTACAAAAATTTGTGGGGCACTACCACTGCACCCATCATTCTAAGACATAAGTTGACAAGGTTCATGTGCCTGTAATTTTACCAGCACCCTTATCCTTCAAAACCGGAACGCAGCAAAGCTCACATTACTGTTTGGCGGCAGAAATAGCTTAGGTGGCAGTACTTCCCTGGACGAACTTTTTCACAGGAGAACGCGAAGCGTGATATTCCACAGGAGAACTACTCTTCTGTGGAATATCACGCTTCGCGGTGTAGTGATATCGAACTACGAATGCACAATATATAAATTCATGAATAATGCCTGGCAACAAACTTTTACCGAATGATTGCCATATATTGTGATTGTTGGTTAGCAGCTTTATTGAGTCTTTTTTATATTCCTTTGCCCTCAATTATCATATGATTGCAATTAAATTCAGTGAATTCAAAAGGAAAGTGAATATAAATTTGATTGTTTTGTTTCAGACGGGACGCGCACACGTGCTAGCACATCCAACCAGTATCGACCTGATAGCGCAGTCGTTGGATACTGAGAACGTCAAGACTAAGGTCGCCGCACTCGAAATCCTTGGTGCCGTATGCTTGGTGCCTGGCGGACATAAAAAGGTATTTTTCAAAGTTAATATCGCTGGCTTTTGTGGAATGCACCCATATACCTATAACAAAAAGTACGGAGTACTAAAAAACCGACCTCTAAAGTCATTCATCAGCTACTTTGCCACATTTCGAGGTGGATATTTTCTTCAAATTTAAATGGGACCACATGTGAGGTACCCTCTTTCCAACAAAAAAGAATCATCAAAATCGGTTTACAAATAAAAAAAAATAGTTATCGCGTAACATACATACAAAAAAAAAAACGTACAGTCGAGTTGAGAACCACCTCCTTTTTTTGAAGTCGGTTAAAAACGGTTGATTGGTAGTCACTTTCGATTGTCTACTTATTTTAGGTAATAACCGATCCAAGTCCGAAATCACATTTTCCCAAAATAACGTGTTCAAATCGATTGAAAAGATTATGTTAGGTTAGGTTTGTTTCATATTTCAAAATAAAACTGTTTTCCGCGGAAAATTACTTTCGGGATTGTGAAAATTTGAGCAAACGTTATTTCGGTCGTCTGATAGGTAACCTTTAGGCAACTGAGTAATTGCGTGAAGAAATAGATTTCTCACAGATGGCGCTCCGGCAAAAAAAGTAGTTAAAAAACCTCAACAAAAAGTTTCGAAAAATTTATGCGGTGGCTTAACTGGCATAGCGTCCGGCACGGTTTGCTAGAAGACGTTGGTTCGAATCCAGCCCGATCGAAGGAATTTTTTGTAAGTGTTCGATATTTGTATTAATAATTATAACAAACTAGTGGAGTAATTTCACAAAATAATTCAATATGACGGTGGTGAAACAATCTGATATTCAGTAAATTTAACCTTTAGGTAAGTTAAGTTTTTCGATATCTAATTTTTTTTGCATTTACACAAAGCCTAACAAAACTTGAGTCTCCCTGAAGTCGACTAAACTTAATTATTCCTTCAACACTATGCCACTAACGATAGGGTTGTCCAAAGTCCATATAGTGGCAAAGCTTAGCGCTTATATAAGTATATGTATTCATATAATATCATGATGTTTTAATTTTCATATAGTTTTTTTTCGAATAGGTACTCCACTAGTTTTGAGTTTAAGTGAAAAAATTGATCGACTGGACTCGAACTAGCGTCGCTTGCCATGCCGGGGTCACAACAGATCTTACGAATTTCTTTATTTGTTTGTTACAGATTTTATAATTTTATAAGTTTTTCACAGGGCATTTTTCTTTGTGTTCGATCTTTATATGAACAAGAATATCTAAGGTAAAATAAATACTATATCTGTCATGTCTACCAGGTGCTAGAAGCAATGGTGCATTATCAAAAATATGCTGGCGAACGTGCACGGTTCCAAGGACTCGTGAACGAACTGGACCGGAGCACAGGCGCGTACCGCGACGACCTCGGCGTGAAGACGGCAATCATGTCGTTCGTTAACGCTGTGCTCAACTACGGACCTGGAGAGGATAGCCTGGAGTTCCGTTTGCATCTGCGATACGAGTTGCTCATGCTTGGTATACAACCAGGTAAGTTTTTACTTTGAATCTAATGGATTCGCTATTTCGTTGACTCATGTGCCCACTTGCACTAAGCTACTCTAAACGTCACATGTGTCTGGTGAAATTACAGGCACATGGGACTTGTCAACTTATGTTTCAGGGTGACGGGCGCAGTGGCAGTGCCCCTGAGAACTTTGTGATTGAAAGCTCTGAGTGGCACTGCATGTACTTGACTAATAGTAACTTTTGCATTGCAAGCATTGGTATACGTACTTAAGTTTCGTTTTTTTTTCTAATAACATGTGTAGGGACAACAATAAGACGTGCGCTTGATGGTAAGCTACACGCCTGTCTATAACAGTTGCAGTGCCACTCAGAGTTTTAAATTGCAAATATCTGAGGGGCACTAACACTGCACCCGTCATCTTGAGACATAAGTTGACAAGTCCCATGTGCCTGTAATTTCACCAGCACCCTTACCCTTCATAACCCGAACACAGTAATGCTGACATTGCGGCTTGGCGGCAAAAATAGGTAAGGTGGCAGTATCAACCTGGACGAACTCTTTCACAAGGAGCTCTACTGTTACTAAAAGACTACGCCATCAACGTGCCGTCGTAGAGCAGAATACCAAAAAAAAAAAACAACGGCAGTTGAATAGCGGCCACTGATAAGCGGATAGTCTTAACTTTTAGCAGAAGCTAAAATCAAACGTACAAAATCCTGTCACTGGCACTCTAGCGACGCACAATTGGGATGAAAATTAAAATTAAAATTTGCAGACTTGATATGTATTCAAAATTTAAAATGCGATTGATTTAATGGAAATATCTTGTTACAGTAATTGAAAAGCTTCGCAAATACGAGAACGAAACCCTCGATCGGCACATCGACTTCTTCGAGATGGTTCGCAACGAGGACGAGCGCGAGTTAGCGCGGCGGTTCGACAAACAACATGTTGATACCAAGAGCGCTCAGGCCATGTTCGAGCTCCTACGCCGGAAACTCAGCCATACTGCTGCTTACCCTCATCTATTGTCTTTGTTGGAGCATCTTCTATTGTTACCTTGTAAGTAAATTAGATATACGGGTGTAGTACAGGGTGGAAAAATTCTTCGGAATATGAACGGGGACTACCTTAAATGCTTAAGATTTGTAATATGAATTCACATATTTATTGAGCCAGAAATGGAACCAACTAAAATTGCAACGTGATCAGAAGTAAATTTTAATTGTTGGTATGCTGTGGGTATTTATACAGGGTGTTAATATGAGATACTATGTCTCTTAAAAGAAATTAATTCTTATTATTGGCCCTTTCGATCGGCGTCATAAAATTATAGGATGTTATTTTTCACATTTGGTCGGTTCGATTCCCAGCTTGTGTTAAGCAAGCAACTATTATAAAGTCTCCATGACGCAAAATATCCTCAATATTTGCAGTACGTGGATTGCATGTCCCTGTATAGTAGGTTTTCTTTTGTGTGGATAATGTGCAATACTTTACAATTTTCTGCTTAAATTGTCAATTTATCTTACAATTTTTCTGCAACTTAATGAGATGCGTGATGAGATGACGGAATTAATGGTAAATCATTCTGAAATATATAAGTACCCAATTTAAATGAGGTCGCGCACTGGTTCTTAAATGCGGGCTACGTTGAAATAAAAGCTTCTCAAACAAACCGTGGGCAGCGTCATTCGCCCGAGGTCAGTGCAAGCGCTCGGACAAGTCTTTTATTTACGTTACAATCCTTGTACAACCCCAGCATTTGGTTCCGCAGGACTGCGCACAGCAGGCAACGATGTTTTCACCTCTCTGCGCGCGTGCTTAGGTTCCTTTTTCCTCGTAGCGCCTCGTCGTAGCGCCTAGTGTCATTTGTCAGATTTAGTAGGCTATTACAGTGTAGATATTTTCGACTTGTATGAGGGTGATGTATCTGTTACGTAGTAACTATTAAGTAATCTGTGCCATGGGTTCGAATCCGGCCTCGTACGTGTGAGTTATTCGGAATTTATGTGCGAAATTTAATTTGAAATTTACATTAAGCTTTTCGGTGAAGGAAAACATCGCGATGAAACCTGCACGTCGAAGAAGGGTCACAACCTTTGGAAAACGTGTGGAGGCCCCAACCTGCATTGAGCAAAACTCCTCGCCTGAGAGGCGACCCGTGCCTAGCAGTGAGACGTATAAATGGGTTGACGCTGATTATGATGGAGTTGAAATAATAAAATATTTCTCAATCCCTGTATAACGTTTGACGCTTTTGACATAGTATACCCGAAAACTATACACGTTGGTAATTTCCAGTGGAGTACAACCCTCACGCGCAGCACTGGCTGCTACTGGATCGCATCACACAGCAGCTGGTACTGCAGCAGCCGCCGACCGGTAGTCGTGCCGATAGCGGCCGCGACAGCGCGCGAACAGATTCCACCGACCTCGACCGTGACCGCGACTACACCAAGGTACTTAAACCACAAACATCCGAAGCTTTAAATTGCATAGAAGCCTTTTTACAATCCGATTGTTCCGGTAACTTAACTTACCGTATTTAGCAAGTTATGTTTGAAAGTCCGTCCTTCTCCTGACAATGTCGTATCTGATTTTTGTCGTATCTTACCCAGTAGGGCTAGCACGATAAGGTACGACTGGCGCGAGAGCGACATAAAGGAATATATGCTAGAATAGCAATATCTCGCAATAAGCGACATAAAGTCGCTCTCGCGCTAGTTGCGCCCTATCGTGCTAGTCTTACAGGTATCAAAGGTGAACAATTTCCATTAATCGTTGTATATTTAACTTATAAATACAACTCATTCATAGAACGAAACTGACATGACCTTACAGTTCATGATATTGTGAAGTCTTAGAACGGAAATAAGTTACCCTTAAAAGATAAGTTAATGCCAGTTACGGCATAGTCAATTTTAATGTAATATTTTAGCGCGCATTTTAAGAGTAGGTGGGGAAGTTTTAAATTTATATTTCATAATGAGGCCCGGAACTGTTGAATTGTAAAGGTGTCGACACGATATGCCAACCACACCACACACATCTATACAGAGCCGTCAAAAACAATTGCAGTTAGGTTGGGATGTTACCTCATCGACCGTATTCTACTGACATAACCCGTCAGTGCCTCTACCACGATACTACTGTGACAGTTGTCGCTAGCGACCGCGTAAATTACTTAACAATTTTGTATGGTAAATTATATCTGACGCTCCTAGCGGTCACAAGAAGAAACAATATTTTGTATACAAATATTATACGCGGTCGCTAGCGAGAACTGTCACTGTAATCTCATGGTAGAGGCACTGATTTTTACTTGTTTTGGTTTTTACAAAATTCTTTGATAGACTTTAATGCCCGGCTTCCATTTTTGTAATAATCAATATACACACTTTTATCTCTAGCATCACAAATACAGAAATAACTAATCTTAATATAGAATTATGTCTAAGATATTATTTTATTTTGTTCCATGACCAGGACTTTTTAGTAAATAATATTTCTGTATAGACTTTTTTATTTATTTTTTTATTTTTTTATAACCGCACACACTCGATATAGCGCCGCACTTGGGAAACCCTGTGTCGCGCGTGTCATGGATACACAAATAGACAATTACAAATTACACCCAAACTCACGAGACAAATAAATGTAGGCCATACAAATATTTCTCCCGGCCCGGGAATCGAACCTGGGACCTCTGCATGGCAGTCCGGCATGGTAACCGTTTGGCCACGGAGGCAGTTATAAACTATTTCCAATATTAGGTCAGCTGTGACGCTTTGAACAATTGTATGCAATTTAAACTTCCAGGTGTACGACCCGGACGTGGCGCCTCTGGAAATCAACGTCTCCGAAATAGTGCATCTGTTGGCCAAAGAAGAGGAGCTGATGGAAGCACGGAGCAAAGCTGACAACTTGGAAAAAGAAAATGTTGACCTCGCCACAGAACTCGCTAAAAAGGTAACGGTCTCCTTTCAAAATATAACTAAAAGGAATGGGAAACACTGATACAGTAACCTGTTTTTACGAACAACAATATCACTGAATAAATTTTAACGATATAATAAGAAACAAAGCTCTAACGAACGAGAAATAAACATGTCGCACCCCTCATGGAAGAATGGCTTAAGTGGAGTTACGTCAAAAACGTTTATTCCTCCTTCAGATACAGAAAAATTGGAGAGGATGTGGGTTATATTTTTCTGTATCTAGTAGAGCAATGAACATGTTTGACGTAACTCCACTTATGCTATTCTTCCATGAGGGGTATATTTTATAACAGGATCATCTAATGTATCACGTAATTTTAATATTGTATTAATTTCTACACATTGATTTGCCTAATTGTTATGGCGCAAATACTTAACGCCAAGTTATATTAACGCCTGTCAACACTTATGAGACATTCATATCATACAGCACATTAATTCCACGTGAACGGTTGCAAAATATTTAATTTACAATTTAATACATACGTACATTTTATTGAAGTTATTTTGCGATTTTGCGTAATTTACATAGTTTCCACTACTAGTGATTGTGGAACTTACGTGTAAGTGACTTAACACCAATTAATTGGAAAATAAAAACATTCACCAAGTTATTTTTAAATCTTCCGCAAACCACTATTTTGGATGATTGGAACACAAGTTCAGTATTGAAAAGTGACGGATCATTGTTGACTTTTGGTGAAAGAGTTTGTTCGGAAAAGTATTACCACCGTACATATTTTTGTCGCCAAGTAGTAGTGTAAGCGTTACTGGTTTTGAAAGTAAGGGTGCTGGTGAAATGAGTCACATGGTACTTGTTAACTTTACGTCTCAGGGTAAAAGCTGTTAGTGGCACTCCAACGTAACATAGTTAGACGTGTCGCTTACCACCAGGCACTCGCCTTATTAATCACGTCACTAGATGTCATAAAAAAGAAGTAGATACCAAGTTCGTAGGTTTTCAAATTTCTACGAATTAGTGAAATAAAAAAGAAATACGTATAAATGAAAGAATGTTTTCGGATCTAAATCGCATATATTTGTTTTTTTCCAACAAACCAATGTTTCGGGCTTTTAACACGTCTCATGTTCACGGCTGACTCAGCCGTTTCATTTAAAAAAAAAATAGATGTATATTAAAATCCTTAGCGTTCATTCGTAAGACTTTGGTAAGAAAGATGCAACCGTTCACCGTCATCCGCTGACACGTATAACACTGGGTACCGGGGTGGCAGGAGAAGCAGTGCGACCAGGCGACGCAGGAACGCGAAGAGCTGGAGGGCTCCGTCTCCAGGCTCAAGGAGAGGCTGGAGCGAGAGACGCATGCGCATATGGAGTGCACGGAACGAGCGCGCGCTGCCGCCGCAAGGGCGCTGCAGCTCGAGCAGCAGGTCAGTACCCGAACCATTCACCCTGCTACAGCATGTGTAGCAGGTGTTTAGCTGGCTCTTCTGTGGATCTAATCTCGTTCTCGTTCGATATTCCGCCCGAAACAATTAGTGTCAAATAAGTAATACTCGACCAAATCAAAACACAACGTTAAGTATGAAGCTTCATTCGTATCGTGCGTCTTTTAACTCATTGTATCATTTGACAGTAATTGTTTCGGACAGATGTCGGACTGAGAACTGGAGTCATTGAGCACAACAAAATCCTCGATGATGGGAGTAGACCCCATAAAGTAACGAATTTATTTGAAAACTACTCGCGGTAGAAGTACAGGTAGTTTATGCTCGCTTTTGGCATAGTATACCTAATAAGACAAGTATTTTATTTCTTTTCTGTTCGGCTCGTCAATGTCTACACTTTGCGTCAGGGTTGTCACATTATTATTTTAGTATTACGTATAGGTAAAAATATTTGAAAAATAAGATATTTAACACAGTATTATTATGAGGCTTTATTATGTATGATTCTCATGCGAATAAATATTTTCTTGTCCGTGGACAAGGTCATAAAAATTCAACCTCTTACGTCAATTTATCGATAAACTTCGACTCTTAGCATGTGCACCTGCGCTGTGCACCGCGGTAGTATGTGAATGCGTGAGTCCGTACACGACGCGCGGTTTGGGTGCACACATTTGTACAAGCCGCGCTATCACATTTGTATCGAGTTACACTACTGTCTTATTATCTGCTTGCTTTTGGTAACTATACAGGGTGTAAATTTGAGACGGGGTAGCAAGGCCAGCTACCTTAATCGTTTTAGTTACAGGAAAACGGTTCTAGAAGACTATCCATGAATTTTGAAGATATTTTGATTGGCATTCACAGATTTTGGAAAAATGGTACAGTCAGCAAGATAAAAGACAATTATTACAAAACTTTTTTTATGCCATTCGATCCGGTCTCTGTTCCGGATCAATAGTCTCTGGGCCAACTGACGTAAGAGTACTCGAAATGTCAGAAATCGCAAAAAACTTTTTAAAATACATTTTGTAGGGACATATTTAGTAATCAGTTATTCTAGGTAGTTAAGGAAACTAACAAATTGACAACGTATTATGTATTAGTTAAATGAAATTTATAAAAAAATACTACAGTGTTCAAGAATTGAAAGACGCACTTGCAGCAATTTTCAATAAAATCCATCCGAGTAAAATTTCAGCCGCTAATTTGCTCTTTGCGGAAGAGAGCGAATCGGTGCATCTGCCAAGTCGGCAATAAATTCGAGCACTTACTATCACACATTATTTATGTTATTTTGCTTTTTGTTATTGTTTTTATTTTGAAATACATAATACGTTGTCAATTTGTTAGTTTCCTTATTGTTAGTTTCCTTAACTTAGAATAACTGATTACTAAATATGTCCATACTAAATGTATGGTAAAGTTTAGTAAAGTTTTTTGCGATTTCTGACATTTCGAGTACTTTTACCTCAGTTGGTCCCATAGAGACTATTGATCCTTAACAGAGACCGGATCGAATGGCATTAAAGTTTTGTAAAAATTGCCTTTTATCTTGCTGATTGTACCATTTTTCCAAAATCTGTGAATGCCAATCAAAATATCTTCAAATTCATGGATAGTCTTCTAGGACCGTTTTCCTGTAACTACAACGATGAAGGTGGCTGGCCTTGCTGCCCCATCTCAAATTTATAGCCTGTATAATAATAATTGTTCATAGGTAAATTGTATTTTTACAAAAAAGAAAAATAATCAAAACTATTCCAGCGTTTTGTGGTAACATTATTAACTATTAATTAACGTTTTCTTATTCGTTTGTCGATAGCCAGTTGTTTGATTTGACAAGTTGAGTAATTTGACAAGAAACGCAAAAAAATTTTTTGTATACAGTATTATTTGAGTAATGCTTTAAGAATCTGGTTTGTATATCGTTTGGTGACAGATAGTTTTAAATAGAAAATAGCAATCAGAATCAAATGATTAGTTACAAGAAGGTTAAGAAAAAAACTTTTACACTTTCACAGTTGAACCAGGAACGAGCGGAGAGAGCAAGATTCGAGAAACTAGTCAGTGAAGGAAGCATACCTGATGACGCCAAAGTAAGAAATTATTTCAGCCCTCGGAAGTCCTGTTATTTATTACATAGAAACATTGATATTGTTTTATGTTACTGTGATAAATCATATCAATTATGATTTACTGCTAATATACGGTAGGTTGGAAAACATGTATTGGTTATTGTTATACAACTCGTCTTTACAGGTTAGCAACCTAAAGAGCGCTGTGATCGAGACATGCAGCGTGCCCCCCCCCCCCCCCCCCCCCCCCCTAACCCCCCCCCCGGCACCACCCGCACCCCCCGCACCAGCCCCACCCCCCGCTCCTCACGCGCCCTTACCGCCCGCGGCACCAAAACCGAAGAAGAACGTGCCAACACCGGGCAATCCTTTAAAGAGTTTCAACTGGAGTAAACTACCCGACACAAAACTACACGGCACTATTTGGCAGGAACTCGACGATACTAAACTGTACAACGCGATGGATCTCCAGACTATTGACAAGATGTTTTGTGCGTACCAGAAAAATGGCGTTCAGGTACTGTCATCATTCACTATCATTTCCTATTTCATAGGGATCGAACCTCTAGGTTTCAGCTCAGTTACAATTATGAAAATTTTCGATTTTGCACTTTTCTCAAAGCAGTTTTTCACAAACTTAATACAACTGTAAGTTGAGGTAAATGTGGCATTGATTCCTTAGCTGTTAAAAACTTTGAGTGTTTGTTATATTTATTTTATTGAATATCATGTTTTTTTTTATTACCGTGGTGTTCTTGTATTTTAGGTGAAAATACTCCACTATTATTATTATTTTCGTATTTATTTTAAACTCTCGCCTCTCCCAAGGCCTATTATTATTATTATTACAAACATCGAACAACACCAACAAAAATTCGTTCTATCTGACTGGACTCGAACCAGCGTCTGTTGCCAGACCCTGGCAACTGCTCGTACCTAAAGCTATATTCCGTGTCAGAGTCAGACCGAAGGAATTTTTCTTTGAGTTGCTCGAACTTTGTATCAGTAATAATAATTTTGAGTGTTTGTGCAAATTGCAATATTACTGATATTACCTTCCCAATACAGAACGAAGGATCGGTAGAAGATCTAAGACAATTAGGCGCGAAGCCTCGAACGAAGATCTTGACGGTGATCGACGGGCGTCGTGCGCAGAATTGTACCATTCTACTGTCCAAACTAAAGATGACCGATGAGGAAATCTGCAGGTATAAAAAGTTTTAGTGTCGAAGTGGTTTCTTGTCGTTCAGCTTCTAGCTCATTGTCATAACTTGCATTAGGACAATTTTTCAAGGTGTCGTATTTTGGTTTAAAATTTGACATGAGCAAGAGCTCGTAGCTTTTTAAAATATGTCAATATAGTGTATTTTTACGAGTACTTGCACAGTTGTCAATTGCAATGAAAGTTCCTTCGTTGAATATTGTACACTATCGATTAGTTGACAAGTATGATTAATTACAATAATACGAATTGATTTATCTTAGTATTAGGTTTCTGACCGCACCATTCTGACAGATGAGTTTACCCATCGAATTAACGTAAGTGATTCGTGGGGATACATGCTACCGATAGATTTCGTGAAAGTGTAGTATAGATTTTCGTGTAGTAAAGGCGGTTCGAAAACGTGATGTCGGATTGAAATGTTCGTGCTTGGGCCACTAGTGTTTATTTTGTTCTAAAGTGTTTCTGTTGCGTGTTCCAGAGCAATCCTGCGCATGGACAGCGGCGAACAATTGCCCATTGATATGGTGGAGCAGCTGTTAAAGTTCACTCCGAGCGCCGAGGAGGCTGCACTGCTCGAAGAACATCAGGATGAGCTGGACAATATGGCGCGAGCTGACAGGTTCCTTTACGAGATCTCCAAGTAAGTAACTGCCACGTCTGCGACATACGGGACTAAGAAACGTCGAAAAATACGTAATTAGAATATAAAGCACCTTTTGCTTTCAGCAAACAAATCAATTGAATTGTTAGTCGCACTAGAGCTCCTTGTGAAAGAGTTCTTCCAGGGAAGTACTGCCACACCTATATCCACCGCCAAGCAGTAATGTGAGCCTTTAACTGCGTTCCCGTTTTGAAGGCTGGTGGTGAAATTCCAGGCACATGGGATTTGTAAACTTTACGTCTCAGAGTGTCAGTGCCCCTCAGATCTTTTCGCTTTAAAGCTCTGAGGCGCAGGACTTTTTCGTCCGACTTCGCATCTTCAAAAAATTTAAGATCATTGCCTTGGAGCGCGCATGAACCGTCGTTTGTGGCTGCGTCGGCAGGATCCCGCACTACTCGCAGCGCGTGCGCACGCTGCTGTTCAAGAAGAAGTTTTCGGTGGCGGCGGCCGAGGCCACGGCGCGCGCCGCCACGGTGCTGCGCGCGGCGCGTGACATGACGCGCTCGCGCCGCCTGCGCGCGCTGCTCGAGATCGTGCTCGCCCTCGGCAACTACATGAACAGGTACTTTTACCAGCTACGAGGGCCCGAGACCCGATATTCACCCGTCTAATTTGCCCTCCTTGTCACAACTAACGCATTTGCATTTCGGTAACTTTCGAGATATTGGCACCTAAAGTTTTTTTCGCTAGTAAAAAATGTCAATTACACTGATTTTGATTTAGTAAAATTAAAACTAAATAAGATAGTAGTCAGTTTTTTTCCTTGTCATATTATTCAAATATTGACCATCAGCTAAAATTATTTTCTGAACTTTGACAAATATGCGTGTCAGTAAATGGCACTTTGTGTTTTTTTCTTATATTTTGGCCATATGCAATTTCCACTGAGTTGCAAATTTTTGATAATTCTTCCAAATAAAAACTAATTTATACATTAGTACTTGCTAATGTGGATAGGTGCCGCTAATCCTAAACAAAATAAAGGAATACTTGGCACTATCCATAAAAAAATATGTGAAATAAGCGCCATCTGGTTGATTTGTTTGTCATCACTAGAAATTTGAGTAGCTTAATAAATTGCTGCTCGTCAATGTAAAACAACTTAGTTACAAAAAAACTATTTAGTATTTGTCGCGACACCTGGTGTACCAATGGGTACTAAATACCCGACTACACTGTCTTGTATCGCGATAAAGGGTGCAGTAATGTACGAATATACTTAACATATTTTATACTTTGTGTTGTTTAGCATTGCAATAGCGGTCATTGACCCTACATTGACCAAAGACAATTCGACTGCGATCGATAAGCGATTTTGCAATTGTAACACTGTGTGAGTAACTTAATCAAAACCAATGACATAACTTAAAAAATCTGAAATTGAGGCATGCCACTCGTGATTTTTTACATGTTAATATCACATAATTGTTATAGTTGATTTTAATGATAATATACTTACGCGTTTAATGAAAATAAACAATACAAGTAGAATAATAATAAACAACTTCACATTAAAACTAATATCTAAAACTAGGTACATAATAACTATAATTTAGTTTCTTTAACTTCGGAATTTTAACAATACAAAATATATCAAATTCTATTTAAAATCCATGACAAAAAACTGCGACAGAAAAAAGCAAATTTTAAGATTTATCCCCGTTTCCGTTTACATACATTTCACGCCATCGCCAGAAGAGCATCCCTTTTCAGCCATTTTGTTTTACAATTATCATACTCCTTCGCCGGAGTACGCTTGCACGTTATCATCTTGGTGTCAATATGTTTTATTAATTTGCTTTGTCATTTTTTATCAGAAAATTAATACAACTTTTAGGTTTAGCTATTAGGATCGGTTTCTGAAAGTTACGGTTCTGCTTAGTGTTTGTATTATTATTATACATTCTTTAAAAACATAAAGGTAAATTACTATTTAAAACTATTTAAAAGTTTACTACCCACGACATCAGAATTAGAAAAACTAAAAACACTAACAACTAAATACTCTCTCAGTATCGTTTTCACAAATGTCTTGTACCTACAGTGGTAGGAAAGGGTGAATAATCATAATTGACATGCTAAATGACACTTAATATAGAATTGTTCATAGTAACATAATTATTTTGTTTACAGAGGAGCTCGCGGAAACGCATCCGGGTTCCGATTGTCATCGCTTAACAAGCTGGCGGACACAAAGTCGAGCGTCACAAGAAACACAACGCTACTCCATTATCTAGTCGAAATGCTTGAAACACAGGTAAGTCTGTTGAAATTGATATACGGAATATAAACGACAAATCTCATGTCTTTCTTAAGTTGTCATTCAAACTGTGAAAACACAGGTTTTAAAGAAGTTGACAGTAACGAAATAAGTACTTTTTAACTAACTTAACCAAACATTATTGCGGCAGTACTTACTCTATCACCTGTTCTACTACAGTCCCGTTAAAGTTTGTTAAAAATTCTTAGCTGCATATTTAAATTTATTTATTGCTTTAAATGTGGTAAGTAATATATATGATGGTTACAGAATGCTTTGCATTTAGCCATTTGCGACAAATTATATTTAAAGACATAGTGATGTACATTCATGCTACGTGCTGTGTAATGCTTAGTTGAAGTTATAAATCTGTGCACCTTTTTTTTTAATTAATCGTATAACAATCCTCAAAAAACAGAAATTTTTCATTATGTCAAATGAACTGTTTTCATTAAACTTTTCATATTATGAAATTTAGTATAAAATTACTTATTCTAATATTTCATTTACATTATAGTTATGTTTTTCTTGTACTTGTGACTTTAGTGTACCAGGCATACTAACACACATTGTTACATAACTTTTTGGTACAATATTATTCTTGATATGTTGCACCTATAACCGGCCTACTTTGGTGTCTTATATGTCAATTTTGATGATATTTAGTTCACCTGGACAAACTCTAATTTGTTCGTGGAAATATAAATGAAAATACTAGAGAGAGGCGTAATCCCAAGTTTGTACGCAGTAATCTGCTGTACTAATATAAATTCAGTGCACCCTTATTTGTAAATTTACAGTTCAAAGACATCCTTCTACTCGAAGAAGACTTACCCCACGTACGAGCAGCTGCGAAGGTGTGCGTCGAGCAGTTGGAGAAAGACGTGACCGCCCTGAAGAACGGCCTTCGCGAGGTGTCGCGCGAGCTCGAGTATCACGCGTCGCTGCCGGCGCCTGCGCAGCCCTACGACGAGTTCGTGCCCGTCATGCGCGACTTCCACGCGCACGCTGTTTGCACGTTTACACAACTTGAAGATCTGTTCCAGGTGTGTTTTTTTTTGTGCGGCCACTAGGCATAATACGTTAATGTCAGTTAAAACTATTGGCTCGGTCTGCTGGATGGCCATAAATTCGGCCTTCATAAAATTTGCGAGGTCAATCCGTATTGAACTGCCTTCGTCGTCGACTACATGAGTTTCTCTTCCGTATGTCGCTATGGGAGGAAGGCCACTTACAATACAAAGATCGAACAAACACGAAGGACAATTCCTTACATCGGACTGGATTCAAACCAGCGTCTGTCGCCTAAACGTGGCTACCGCTCTGCCAACAGATTTTACGAATTTCTCTACCTGTGCTTTATACTATGCTTTTGTCAAATTGTAGGATATGAAGAGCCGTTTGGAAGCGTGCGCAGCTGCATTCGGAGAAGAAGCAAGCGCGTCGCCGGAGCAGCTGTTCGGTGCGATGGACTCTTTCCTTACGCAGCTGGCCGAAGCACGCGCAGAGTGTGACGCCACCAGGCGCCGTCGGGACGAGGAAGAACGACGTACCCGTCACGAGCAGGAGGTGAACTCACTCGCTTCTTAACGTCAAACCATCGAGTATTTAACCAGTAATAGAGACGAAATAAAGGCCATCCATCCCTGGCAATTCATCAGGCAAATGGGCCTTATATCACTTTTAAATATCAACTCTCGTTTGCGCTGAAATCACAAATTAGAAAACTGACATAGTACAATGCCAATAACTGACCTGTGTGTACGTCTCCATATATTGCAAAAATATTCTGTATTTATTGTAATAAAGTTAATATCTCTAACCAACTATGGGGGGTTGTTCCGTTCGGTGGTGTGGGAATAACAGCAAAACATCTAATGACAAAACAAACTGAATCATATTTCATCGGTAATTAAATATGTATTTTTGCAATTTGTGTCCATTATAGCAAAGTTCAAGTTAAACTGGTCGATTTGAAGTGAAACAATTGACGACACCCGTCAATTGTTTCGAATTTGGGCTGGCCAATCGGAGCGCAATTGTTACAGTAATGATTTGGTAGATTTCAAACAAATTAAATGACATTTCGTCTCTTTTTCTGGTTATATACTCGATGCTTCAAACATTCACAAGAATTTGGCGTTAGGTTCTCAATACTCAATAATTTAATTCTCGTCAACAATACTAAAAAGTTTGAAAATAAAGGTTCTATCAGTGCGTTCTAACCGTTGTGACATACGGAACCGCGACGTGGACACTCCCGACATGATTAGTCCACCAGTTAAAAGTCACTCAGTGAACCATGGGTTGAGCTATGCTCGTAGTTCTTCTGAAGGATACGATTCGAAATGAGGTTTTCCGACAGAGAACCAAGGTCGTCGACATAGTTGATAGAATAAACAAGCCGAAAGGGAAACGAGTTCTTGAGTGGAGACCACGGCTCGGCAGACGTAGAGTAGAACGCCCTCTAACCAGACGGAGTGACGATCTGCGAGGACCGGGCGAAATGGTGCACAAGTGAAGTGAAGAGGCCTATGTCCAATAGTGGACTGTAATAGGCTGATGATAAATAATTTTACTCTCCATAACGTCGTCTTATAGTGAATACCTTATATCCGAATTGTATATAATTTTTTAGGACGAAGACAAAAATGTTGTGTAAAAATATAATAAGTATAATGTTTTTAGTTTGTAGTTAGAATTTTGATTAGCTAAATCATATCTCTTTCAGATGCTATATCGGTTCAATAATATATTTAAGCAAGAGGTTTATAACTTGAAACAAATGTTTAAAAGTGAAAACAAACTGTGAAAATTCGTATGCGATGTTTTTACTCAAAGACGATAAGTACAATTACAATCATTTTAAGTACATAACGAGTCTAGTAGAGCATGATAATAGTTCTATCCGTTTCTGCGCCGTTTCATTATGTAACAGTCACTTAAACTATTATTTTATGTCCACTGCATAGACGTCCTATATAAACTCTGAAATGGAATCCGAGATCAAAAATGTTAACAAACGAATGTCATTGTGAAAGTGACATTTCAGGGGTATGAAACACTTAAAAAAAAAAGGTATAATTTTATTAGTGAATTCATTCAAATTATTTCGCGATTAAAATCCGGAAAAATAGTTTCATTTCCCATGTGTAATAATCGCGAAAACCTAAGAACTCGACAAATTAAGTATGTTAAACATTTGTGACATAACCAATGTTTACGTTTGAAGAAAATTGGAATATCAATTTAAATTTGTATCATCATCTCAGCTCGTTAACACCAATTAAAATCCATTTCCTGTAACATTACAAGAAGTGCTATTGCGTCAGTGTACCACCAAATGAGCGACTTTTATTTTTTTTCATAAATTTTAAAATATAAAAAAATGATGGGTAAATTGTTCAATACGTTACGGACACCGTGTGTCTTTACGACGCGTGCGCTGTAAAAGGTACTTGTAAGAAGTAACTTACCTACTTCTGCCGTTAAGCAGTAATATGAGCATTAATGTGTTTCGGTTTTGAAGGGTAAGGGTGCTGGTGAAATTACAGGCACATGGGACTTGTCAATTTATGTCTCGGGGCACTGCAGCTGTTATGGACAGGCCTATAGCTTACCACAAGTTTTTCGTCCCGTCACTTGATATTATAAAAAAAAAATTCATCATCATTATACGCCCCACTGCTGGACGCGGATGTACCCTAAGGAAAGAGTTTAAGCCGTAGTCCCTCCTGCTGGTCCTCTGCGATTTGGGAACCTCATACGTTCGTACGTACACATCGTAATGAATGGCGATGTTTCCCGTCACCGTTACCGAGAGACGTTGCTACTAAATATTCACAAATATACGTTAACTTAGAAATATTCCCGACTATTGTTTTAGGTAAGCATTTCCTCTCTTTAAATAGAGAGAGTGTACATTTATAAATGTTTATTTTCTTTCTAGCTCAAGAAGCGGACTATGGAGCGGAAACAAGCGTCCAGTTTGCTGAGCTCAGTTGGTAAATCCCTTGGGAAGAACTCGCCAGATTGCAATGGGCATAGCAACGGCGACGGTCCCCGAGACGGCACACTCACAAACGGGCAGAAGGGAGAGTTCGATGACCTCATCTCCGCTTTGAGGACCGGAGATGTCTTCGGAGATGATGTAGCCAAGTTCAAAAGGTCCCGGAAAACAAAGAACCACAAAGGAAGAGATTCTCCACCGAAAGGCGTCTGTAGGGAAGACTCCAGAGAACGACAAAAGAATTGAATTTCTCGTGGAATTGTATGACGGAATTGACCGATGCCACGAAATGGCGTCACGTTTAGAATAATTTGCGGTGATTGGTGGCAAATGCTCATAGAGTTATTTTACTCAGGGGTAGTCACAAATAGACGTAGACTAAGTGAGAAGAACCATTCATTTACTAGGTTGTCGGAGTTGAAGTCACGAAAGAAGCAGATGGAAATATTATGAAGTTATTCTATCTAATTCTTTTGAACTTACTCTTTTTGACGAGACATGTAGTATAGCGTAATGTTCTAACCGTACCAGTCCTGTATGACAACGTGATCGATTGTCTGTGACCATTTTGTTACTTTTTTGTACTAAATAAATAAGCTTCTGCTGCCGACGTCAGTCACAAACATGGTGCCTAATTTTGAATGTTTTTAAAAGTATTTGACACAAATTTTTGACGATAGCTTTTGCTGGAACGACTGATTTAGTCAAAGACTGTGCGAATTATTCCATGAACGTTTTTATAGACTTCTTTGTATTATATAAGCATTGTGTGATTTGAATAACCATAGATAGAATAGCGTGTATCCTGTTTAACGTATAAATGTTTTTATACATGAACATACACCCTAATATCAAGTAAGGATCTTTGAAATTACGCATGAAAGATAAAAATTTTGGGTTCCTGAATCGAGCCTGAATTATTGAGAATTGAATGTTTCTTTTAGCAGAAATGCGAGATATCTTCTAATGGAGGTATAGAAAATGTATACAAGATACGATACATATTTCTAGAAGTCTCTGGGTGAATGTTGCATGTTAGTCAAACATTTTGGATAAATTTTGTAGCGTTTTTATACATGACCTCCAATATGTGCTCTACAATTTCATATAATTTATTATCTTCAAACTATTTTATTTTCTTTAAGCGTTGTAAATATTATTTTTAATTTTCGTATCTGTTACCGACGCGTATCAAAAAGTGGAAATTATTAATTTATTAATACCGCGTATCTAAGAGTTTGTCATTTGTAAATTTTATTGTTTTGTTCAGTATTGTATAAGCGTATAGTATATAATATAATTATTACCTATACCTTAATATAAACACTATTTAAATTAAAATCTTGAAACTTTATTAGTGTGTTTTAGTTACAAACAATAGAAAACACTATACTAATATAATAATAATAATAATAATAATAATAATAATAATAATAATAATAATAATAATAATAATAATAATAATAATAATAATAATAATAACACACACACTCAACATAGCCCCGCACTAGGGAAACCCTGTGTCGCGGGTGCCATGGACACACATATAGACAACCACAAATTACACCCAAATTCACGAGAGAAACAAATGTAGGTCATACAAATATTTCTCCCGGCCCGGGAATCGAACCTGGAACCTCTGCGTGGCAGTCCGGCATGGTAACCGTTCGGCCACAGAGGCAGTTAAACTATAAGTCCTAAACTATAAACTATAAGTCCAGGCACTTAACCCAAGAGCCTGCCTATATATATATATATAGGCAGTATATTTGTATATTTGTTTTTTCAAACAAACCGACGTTTCGGGCCCTTTACAGGTCCCATGGTCACGGTTGACTGACTTGTCAAATGTAAATTAAATGACAATGAAATTAAGCAGTATAACCGCTTTCAATGTGTATATTTCGGCTTAGTTTGTGCGTTCTGTGTAATTTAATATCGACTTTATTTATAAGTACAAAAAATCTAATAAGAACTTTACTTTAAAAACTAAATTGGAAAACTGTTAAAATCGCGAAAGAATTGTATTTTTCCATAAAAACACAGTTTAAGAAAGTATTACTCGGCAAACTTTATTAATTGCGGAATAAAAGTAGGTTTCGGCGGACATTTTAACTCCGAAGTTTCATTACAGAATTACAATGGACGTTGCGGAGTCAGTTTCGTGAATGAAAATACATGTTCCGGTTCCTTAACAATCACTTACATTTAAGTATCTTTGTAAAAGAATTGAGATATTCTGACTTCTCTCTTCAAAAACATTCTACTAAATTGCGTCCCTAAAACCTTTTACAAATTCAAAGAAAATTCTTTTAAATTTTATTTCTAAATGTATTCTGGTTTCCTTGTGGTGTAAGAAGCAACATAAGTTTTAAATTTTTCGCTTTAACAGCAGTTAGTAAGTGTGTTTATGATCAAGATGAGTACTTGAATTATAGAAATAAAAATATATCAGATAAAGAAATCTGAATATTTTTCCAATTTTGCTCTTATATTATTTTAGTTTTTCCTGATAAATATTTTGAAAAATTTCCATCTTTTCAATGCATTTCTGGCTGTAATTACGCTTTTTAAATTTAATTTAATCTCGACTTTGTCGAGACTTGTGATCGAGCGGATTGCACTGTCGAACTAAATAAATTTCGTACATAAATTCCGAGAAACCCCGCGTGGATTCGAAGCCACGGCATCAGTTTGAGAGGCGGTAGGACAAACCATTAGGCTATTACGGCTTCAAGTGTTCGTGTTTGACACATAATTTACTTAAACTAAGAAAAATACGTTGGTTTAGGTGAGGTTGCATAGAATTATTAATTAAGAACGACTTTGGAAACTACATCATTCATATACTGGATCCATTCTTTATACCAGAGTTAATGAAAAATAAACTTTAGTTGTTTGGTTTTCATTTGGGACAATTTATAGCTCTAATAGGAATCCTTACAGTTTATTTGAAGTAAAAATAATACAGTCTGCTATATCTGGAAACTCGACCAAATGAACATTAAGATAAAGTTGAGTTTCTGGATATTGAACATTTGGAAAGTTGATTATGGATGCCAACATTATATATATTTTATGAAATAGAGGATGTGTAGTAGACTGAACCTAGAAGTTCAACAAGAACAAGTTAAGCAGTGGCGTAGCGTCGATTTCGAAAAAAAATAGTAGCGGGATAATGTACGGCAGAATGTGTTTGACGCTCTTGCTTCAAAGTAAAATAAGTGTTGCGTGTTGTTGTCACAAATAGTGTCAAGAACGTCACTTTTTTTAATAAAAAGTCACTAACAACCTGTAACACTTAGAGGATGGAAAAAATAAACCAATAGTCTAAGGTGTAACAGCAGGTAATGTAATTATAATAGAATAAGCTAAAGTACAACAGGCGACCTTATTCCTAAGTTTTAAGTAGCAGTAGAACTTCTTGTGAAAGAGTTCGTCGAGGAAAGTACTGCCACCTTACCTATTTCAGCCGCCAAGCAATAATGACAGCATTTCTGCGTACCGGTTTTGAAAGGTAATGGTGCTGGTGAATATGTCTCGGGATGGTGGACGCAGTGGCAGTGTCTATCAGATCGCAACAATTCCAATGGACATGCGTGTCACTTACCACCAGTCGCACGATTTGTTCGTCTCGTCACTTAGTATCATAAAAAAGTAGCATTTTAGGCAACTGTAGGACAGGAAATTGTGAAATGGGGAAGGGGTGCAACTAGACAATTTTTTAAAAATATTTTTTTAATAAATACATACATTACGTACTTAGACACTAGTAGAAAATAGGAAATTAATTACACCACAAAATAAGGAAATAAATATAGAGACGGGAAAATAACCGAAAGTTAGGATTTAGGTTAGTGTTCCTTGAAAAATTAAAAAAAGCAATGATAATAATAATATGTAATATATATAGTAGAATTAAATTATATTATTATTTAATTATTAATATTATCTTTATTACAAAACACTCTTTAGTCTTATATATAGTACAGAGAAGAAATTTATTGATCAGACTCAGATCTTCGATCAGATCAGATTGCAGATCAGATGTCCGACTGACACGTCGTACCTCAGCTACCTCGGGTATACTCTGGAGCATAGGTTTTTTCCTCGTGCCGGAGTCTGTGTGTACGTTCGTGATGACATTTGTGTCAAGCGTCTCACCACATCCAGTTTTGTCGAAAGCCCATGGTTAGTCGTTTGAATTTGACTTTTAAGGCAGTCTCCGATTGGGGTGATGCCAATCTTGTCAAATTTAATGTTACCAAAACGTAGGCGTGTCTGTCCCATTGAGCTGACTCCGACTTTTCATGATAAAAATGCAGCCAGGAAGCAAGGCCAAAAATGCAGCCAGGAAGCTTGGCATTCTTTCCAAGGTGAGGAGTTACTACACACCGGGACAGTTGCTTCAGCTGTATCAAGCACAAGTCCGGTCCTCCACTGTTGTGGATATTCCCCGGATTCGCATGAAGCGCTTTCACATTTGTATGGCGAGCGGCTAGGGAGTGGAATTCCCTACCTGCAGACTTGTTCCCCGAACGCTATAACTTGGACTCTTTCAAGGCGAGAGTGAACAGGCATTACTTAACCTAAGCAATGCCTATTCACTGTCGCCTTGACAGGGTCCAAGTTATAGTTATAGTGTGCATGCTCCATCCTCGACCTCATCGTCACTTTCCATTAGGTGAGATGGAGGTCAAATGCGCACCTATTTTTTTTATATAATAATAAATAAATGTGAAGAAAATAAAATAAAATAAATAGGTAGAAATAGCGTAACAAATCTAAGGACTCTGGCTCCTGAACTAGAAAAATGATTTTATATTGACCAAAAAATGTTTATTACGATTAATTTTAACCGTTAATTATTATTATTAATTATTATAATAATTATTATATTAATTATTATTATAATTATAAATCAGGCATCATCCGGTTCAAGGTAAAAATTGTAATTGGCTTATTTAGAACGTTATTGCTGATATTAACAAACGCACTTAAGCCCACCAATGTTCGATGAGCTGTCGTAACTTAAGCTGACTTATTAATGAATATCCCCGGATATTCATTAATAAGTTCAAAACTTAACTTCCAAGTTAGTTTCAGAAATTGATATCGGATTAGTAACCGTTGGGTGTAAGTTACATTTTCTGTCCATATTCTCAACTGCCCTTACGTAAATGGATTAATTCAGAGTAGACGCGTATACACTATATACATTGTATACAATTACATAGCAGCTAAAAGATAATAACCTGCCAGGCATTAGGAACATATTCGAGCGCTAAGCTGTAAATGTAAAGAAAATTAAAACTGTATAGTGTAAAAAAATATTATAGATTATGCGAGCATGTCATGGATAAACCTACACATTCAATGAAGTTTGACAAACCCCAGGTCCTTGCAAATGAAGTCCGTTATCTACCCAGGATGCTGCGAGAGGCCATTGAAATTAAAAAAACATCCTAATTTCAACAGGGAAGATGGTTTCTCCGTACCACCAGTTTGGGATCCAGTATTTCCTCTAATGAAAAATCCCAAACAGACATAAGACTGCAGTACTAATTAATATGTTTTAGTTTATTCTAATTTCCATTAATAATTAATAATAAATTAAACTTAAAAAAAAATTCATTCAATAAAAAAATTTGTAAAACTTAATGTAGCGTAATTTGGAATGTTTTCTTTGTAAAATTAAGGTATTATATTATATTATTAAGGTATTTAAAATAAGGTATTTAATTAATAACTATTGTAACTATAGTGAAAAAATAGGGTGGTTTGCATTAATATTAGACATAACTGGTTGAAGACTGTACCACCTCAGTCAACCGTGACCATGGGACCTGTAAAGGGCCCGAAACGTCGGTATGTTTGAAAAAACAAATATACGCGATTTAAATCCGGAACAATAGTTCCATTTCCTATGTGTAACAATCGCGAAAACCTAAGAACTCGATAAAAAAATATTATTCAACCTTTGAATCTGTAGAAAGTAATTTATGGCGACAGAGGAGGTCTTAGTCGGTTGGTTATTGGCATAGTAATTGGTATACCCATACTTATTGTGACTATTATATTACATGATTATTATCCATGCTAACTCATAGTTTTGTGTTTTTAAT